CAGTGTGCCGGCCTGAGCATGTAGCACCTCATTTTTTGCTCTCCCTCTCGCACATCCGTATGTCAAGAAAGTGCCAGCGCAAATTCCCTTTCCCACACCGTGCTCAAACCTGAATTCCGTCACTTTATCTCCTTTGTCAACAGAAATTTCCTCTCGCCGAGAGAATAATTCAAAACAAAGAATTAAGGCGCACGATTAAATTTAGTTCCGACAGAGCCAAACCAATATTTCAAAATCAGACAATGAAATAACTGCCGCTCCCGGCGGAATATGATTGGAAAACGCATGCATGTCGAGACTCATTAATAACCGCGCGGCCCAAAACGTTGGCAAACGTCCGCGATCGATACCCGATTGGGAATTCAATCTTTCTGCAGCAGCAGCCCGGCAGCCAGCACGCGCCGGCACACAAATTAATCTTGTTCGAAATCCCCAAGAAAAGCGCAAAACCCGCAAGATAAAAGCAGCGCGCAGAACAATTAAGAGGAAAACCGAACTGCGAGTTTGTAGTTGAGAGCCAGGGTGCTTCGGAGTTTGTTGGCAGTAATTCAAGCGAAACTGCTTAGGCCGGCCAGAGATGGGTCGACTGATAATAAATTTATTTGATATTAATTATAACAAGCGCCGGGTCACAAGCTCAAAGCGAGATTAAACTCGGGGGTGCCGAAAGCAGGGCCGCATGTGCTGGGTTTCAATTTGGCCGCCCTGCTTGTCCATCTTGCATTATGTTGCTTGGGTTCTCTGGGGAGATTTCGAGATGATCACTCGTCGCTCGTAATGTAGTGGAACTAATCGCCTGTGTGACTGAACGCCCTTTTTCATTTCACTTTGGCCCCGGCACTAAAACTTGGCCCCAGAGTGATTTAAAAGTAGCAGTCTCGAGAGCTTGAAATCTGCTTTGAAGCTGCGAAACGTGCGCACTCTTAACCTAATGGAATGAAATGTGCTTTTTGAAAAATGCCTTTGCTTCTCAGAATCTGTTTCATTTCGTGACCAGCAAGAGAAGTTTCCTAGTCTGGCGCGTGTATTTCAGGAATGAAACTACTCGCCCTTAAAATGTTCAAAGAACATCATTTTTTATCTCAATTTCTATGTACATGTAAAAAAAAAGAAATGATCTATTCATTAGTGATAATTTGATCTCTCGTACAAACAATCATTAATTAAAGCTAACAAACAACGCTTAGCCCTGTGAATACAAATTAATTCGCAGTTTAAAATAAGCAGCGCACACTACAGCATTATTTAATCATGCATGTGTCTCCCACTCAAGCGACCGTCATGTCATCACGTGCACGTGCCGACAGACTAATTGGCAGACGCGCAACACAAACACAAATAACCTGCAGTAATTTCGCGATCGGCCGAGATAATAATCACACTTTGACTAGGTGCTGTAAATCGCAATTAAAGACCGATGCGGATTTTTTATCTTATCTTCGGGCCAATCGGGCGCCAGATCCAATTACCAGGCTCGTTTTTGCTCTGCTCGCTGCCGCGACCCTAATGAATCTGCCCGCATCACATCGAAAAGCAATAACAACACATTGCACCGCAAACAATCCGATTTTTCCGCCCAATCCTGCGAAACTGCTTTGGGTGTTTGTGGCTCTAGCCAATTATTTGGGATCGAATGGTCAGAAGGGAAGCAAAATCCATCTAATTTTAAGGTTAGGCCAAATTGACTGGAATTATTTGTACACAATCCATTATCTGCAAGTTATATTTAATTTTAAATCATTTCTCTAAATTATAAGGCAATTTTATTTTTTTTTAATTAATTTTTATTTTAAATCCAAACAGATTGTTCAAATTGTTAAAATTTTTAGCCGAAAATTATTGTGCAGAGAAAACCCATTACCAAGATTCAGCTACTTATGCAGAAATTTTGCCAAGAAAAGCAAGTCAAGTGTCTGTTTTGTACAAGTTATAGCCGCTACATGTGTGTGTGTATTTAAATTTTATATTATGCTCTCGCCCAATTTCCATATTTATTATCTCCGGCGGCGGGCCGGCTGTGCGCTCGACCGGCGCGAGGCAAGGCGTTTTAAACGAAGCCATTAAATTTACACGGAGAGTTTGAGTTAAGAGATAATTGAAGTAAAAAGCGCTGCCGGCAACCCTCTTGAAGCGCCCTCGACAACACTCGCGTGGAAATTGCGCGCTACAAGCTATTTTTTCCCACCCCTTTTTCGCCGGGGCAGTTTAGGGCCGCGTATCTTTATTGCGCGGTGGTGCAAAGCGAATGCGCAATTTTACGAGTGTATATATTTCGGTCGCTCGGCTCGCGGATTCTAGTCCTTCTTTTCCCGTTCGATACCTCGACCGATTTGCATAAAGCGGCGAATGAAAATGGAAATTGGTGCGGCTCACACAAAACAAATTCGGTCATTTCTCTCCTTGTCTCTGCGAACGAGAATGGAAATTTTTCTTGGCGCTCGCATACGTCTCGGTTCCGAGTGAGTGACAAAGTGCGTCCACTTTGCCCATTTCAACACCACTTGGCACGCAACTTTGTCATCACTCAACCCACCGGCTACACTTACATGTGTGCAATTGTGGTACATACGTTTGTGTGCGCACAGATTGCTGCCCGATTTCGGTGCGTCGATCTGCCTGAAAAGAATAAAAGGGCCATTCAATTTGTTCCTGGTGAATAGTTCGAGGAAAGTCGGTCTTTTGTTCGTAAAGAAACAACTCCACCAGGAAAGTAACAATATTATGGAAGTTTTATTTGAATTAATTTCTCTCCCTTATTTTATGTTTTAACGCGTAAATAAAAAGTTTCACCATACAAATTTTCGAGAACAACTTTTTTCGAAACAGCTCAGTTGTTATATTGTATAGCCGTCGCTTTTATATTATTTGGTTTAAATTAGGGGAGAGCGAAATTTCCGCCGACAAAGGCAAAATCAGCCTGGTTTTAGTGTGCGTCGCGAATATGCTGGCGATTATCCAACAGGCTTAATGAATTTTTCAAATGGATTTCAGTTGATTTTAACGTCGACTGTCAACAACAAACAGAGAGAGCCTGCTTTGCTTTTGCCTGGGCAGTGGATTGTTTGCTGAAATGGCGAATTGCGAGAAAGTGTTTCGCGGAAATTTAGCGACGCGTGGGACGCTTTCCAATTTCCACGTTGGATACAAGAGAAAAAAGATTTTGCTAAACCCTTTTATCTTGAAGCGAATTTCTAGAGCTGCAAAAAATTTCTAATCTGTGAACAACATAGGCAACCTGAATACACGGGCGTTGCGCAGATTGCATAAGTCCTCGTTTTATTTATTTTTTAAAACATTGTTTGAGTGTAGAAGAAAGTTTGGAAAGTTACATAGTGATATGGACTATGTATGGAGTAGTTGACACGTTCATTTTGTAGTATTTTTTGCTCAACATACCTAAAATGACAAACTTTCCAAAGAATGCGTTGTAATTGAGATATTTTACTGCAATATCATGCGTTTAGTTTTTAATATTCCTAATGAACGAGACAGGGAGGAGGGGATCTGGCCTTATTTTTCTGTAGCGCAGCAGGCACCACTGAAGTTTGTATTTTATTTATTTATTTTTAAAAGAATTGATTAATTAATTATTGTTGTCTATTTTTCTAAATTATTGCAAATTTTTTATTTGTTGGATAAAACAGCACCACCACTATCAAGAATTTTGCTAAAACTTCCGACACCAAAAAGACCCAATTCATGACATTAGTTTCAATTTTCAGCTGGGACGAAAGTATTAAAAATTTTAGTGTTGTCGTTTATTTGTACAAATTAGTAAAAACATATTTGATAATTAGTCAGTTTTTTTTAACTTTAATTTTGCTAGTTTTTTTCAATTCTAAATTAAATTATAAAAGGTGCGACCCTGTTCTGCTGAATCAAGCCAATAAACACAAAATAAAACGGATCATAGAAATAGTTCAATTTTGAAATTAATGATCTGAAATCCGCGACCCGGAGTAAGCGGCTTTAATTGGTAGGCGTTGCGAAAGAAGCGCCGCAAATTTTAGCACGGGCGCCACTAGAGTAGAGATAATTGAAAATTTGCTTGGCGTGCTAATTTTTTGACGTTGTGCCACGCGCGCGGGCCGGCGACCGGTCGGCGAGTTTGCGGAACACTCGAAATTCTGGCAGCGCCCGTCGGGAGGGCGGGACGAAATTTATGTGCTCAAATGACAGGCACACGTCTCTCTCTTCACTTGTCGTATATTTATACGCACCCTCGGCAGCAACAGCCGCGCTCCAAAATGCTGCCGAGTCGAATTTGAATGCCGAGGTGCGCGTCTGCTCCTCTTATCTGCCGAGTTCGTTTCTGCGATAATGACGGTGTCGAGCGGCGACGAGCACTTGACTTTGCGCGAAAAGAAGCGAAAATTAAGATTGAGAACTTCGTCCGCATTCATGACGCTGGAAGGAATTAAGTGGTGTGCGGCGGCGTGTGTGAGTTCGAGTGGCGAGGGGACGTGAAACGTAGGGGTTTAAAAATGAAAAGTGCAAATTTTGCATCATCAGTCTTCAATTGTTTGTTGAATTTCAAGAACGTTCTCAACAGGTTTATTGGAAATTAAATAAAAGTCTGAATATTGATTTTTTTAACACTGTCATTTAATTTTTTAATTTAATCATAATGAAAAGGAAAGTTTTAAAATGAAAAATAAAAAAAAACACTAGATTTTTCCAATAAAAACGTTGTTAACAAAAACCTCATCGACGAGATCCCCTCTCAAAAATCTAATCCCGCCATTCAACTCTCGCCAAACAAAGCCGAACGCAATCAGCCTCTTTTATTCTCTCACTTCCCCACGCCGGCAAAGCTCCTGCGCGCCGACCCTAATAAAATATTTGCCAGGCTGTGCCCCTTCCGCCCAGACCGCTTCTAATGCATAAGAAAGTTTGCATGCTAATAATTGATTCGCCCTTCTCCGCCTACTCTATCTATCTATATGGTGATGGCCTGTCGCTGCTCTAACCCTGGTGCGTGTTTGTTTTTGATCCAACAGCCCTGCTCTCAGGCACCCTGCGGACCTACACGCGCGTCAGCTGCGACGACAATGCGGTGACCTTGCGCTGCCCACAGGGCACGACCATCTCCGTGCAGCGCGCCCAGTACGAGAGCGACGACCAGTGCCTCTGCAAGAACGGCCAGTGCGTCGCCACCTCGTCGCCTGCGGACAGCAATGCACTCTGCGTCTGGCCCCACGCCCTCCAGGTAATTATCAAATTCCAATCAATCGAAACGCATCCTATAATTTATTCAACTCAATCATCAATTTCAAAACATAATCACACATAAAACTATTGATTTTTGAAAATTTTATTTTCCAAATGGATGAAAAAATTTACAAAAACTGTTACATTTGAAGGAAAATGCAAAATATTTCCGGGTAATTAAATTTTAAATAAAATGAAATTAAAGAAAACAATTTCAAATAAATTTTTAAATTAGAAATATCAAATTTTAGAACTGGATATTTTCAGTGGAAAATTTATAAAAAAAAAATCAAAGCTCTGCCCTTAGTGAAACAAGCAACCTTTCACACAAAATTAAGCTATTGTATAAATCGGAATTAAAAATTGAAAAGCAAGAAATCAATTCCTTCGATAGCCAAACAAAGTGCACACACTGCACTCTCCTTTCGCTCTATTTCTCTGCAGACGTCGAACGTGTGCTTTAAACTAGGAAGTCTTCCCATTTGTTATTTTTTGCTTCTTTTCCACACTCGAACAAAGATGTCCTGAGTCATCCAGGCGGAAGCAAAACGAGCGCGTCTTGTGTTGCTTTGCAGAACGTCGGGAGCTTTGTTCGGACTTGCGATGATCAAAGTGAAGGAGACGAGGAGCTTGCATTTTGTTCTGGTTGCACAAAGTTGCGAGTCAAATTAAAAATGGGAGCATCGATGTCAGAAGTTGATTCAACAGGGTGTTGCACAGCAATTGCTCTCTTGCATGCGAAAACTTTTCATTCCTCTAAAACTTTTGCTTCACTTTTAATGTCTTTTATTTATATAAATTCAATAAAATTTTATTAAGATTTTTATCCTAGAAAATAAAATTAAAACATTCTATTTATTTATTCTTTTTTTTATTAAGGGGAAATAATTTTTATTTAAATGTTTTCATAACAATTTCTCCCCCTTCATATTTATCATGGACAAGATCTGTTTTTTTTTTTTAGTTTTTAAAGTACAGTTGACCGATGGCCGCCTCTTGGGGTCAGTTGCACTTTTATTTTTCCATTTTTTCAACCAGATTAGCAAATTTCAATTTAAATGAGTGAAAATTGCCATTCTTTAAAAGTTCTAGTGATGTTTGCACAAAGTATTTTTCGTGTGGATGGTTGCTTGATTTGCTGACGCAAGAGTGATCTTTGCAAACAAAATTCGCAGTCCGTTATTTGCCACTTTCCTCGGAAATGGAAGAGGGTCTGGCGGAAAATTAGCATTTTGCCTCGAAAGTCAAATTTGCCGATCGGCTGAGTGCTCGCGGAGTGTCAACAGAGCAGAGGAAAGTGAGGGTGCGGCTGACGACCGGTTGGCATTGGCACTTTTTCCTCTTGAGGCGCAGCAACTTTTCGCCCCTCGACTTGTTTGACTCGCTCTTTCATAAGAGGCACAAAATTTGCCAAAACACGTCCCGAAGGCGGCGGGACGATGATGTTGTGCTGATGGAGAATAATTTTTATTGATTTTGCAATCACCGAGAAAGCGGTCTCGTGAACGAGCAACCTTCCACCCACCCCAACAAGGACCATTATTTATTTCAACCTCTCTGCGCTGCTCCGGTAGCGAATAGAGAGGTGCCCTTTTTATATATAGAAAAGGAGCCGGGGTCACTCTCCTCCTCCGGCTTTTCCAGCGGCAGCTAATCTGTGGTGTAGTATTCTTTATTGCAGACGGTGGTGGAGGCCTGCCAGAAAAAGAGGAACTGCAAGTTCCATACGTCACCCAAATCTTACGGCGGCGATCCGTGCCCGAGCTCACGCAAGGCTGTAAAAGTGGCTTACAAGTGCAGGCCGTGTAAGTGCCCTATATTTACTTTGCATTTAAAAAAGCGAATAGTGTCCTCCCTCCCTGACCCCGACAAGTGCCTCATTTGAGTCAAGTGCTGGGAAGATAAAATTTCACTCATTTATCAGTTCGAGTCAAATCCATTCGAAGGCAAAATACCTCAAAACGTTTCCCATACAAAATCGTTCAAAAGTAGAAAAGACAAAAATTAAAGACCCACTCCGGTCATTTGTATTGCTCTTTATTATGAAAGATTGCTAAATTTCGAGTATATCTTTTGAAAACAATATGTTCCCAAACCGTTGCGATTTGCGATGCAATCAAAAGAAACCCTAATACGAGTGATTGGCAACTCAATTCTCACATTTTTTTCGTGCGAATCACTCGTATTTTAGGTTTTGGAATTTTCACATGTAGTGTTGTGTGTTGTCACAAGATATACTCGAAATTAAGCAATCTTTGAGAATAAAGAGCAATACAAATGACCGGAGTGGATCTTTAAATGAAATTTTTTCCAAAACTCTGGAATAAATATAATATGACCATGACAAATTACAAATTTAAGTTTCTCTCGAGAGGAAAAAATTCGTCCTGGTCAGACGGAAAAAGAGACACGCGGGTAGCAATTTTTCGTTTTCCCAGGCCGTCGTCAGTGCTCTCGGCGCTGAATATTTCAGCGGGCTTCCTCTTTTGGCAGGCGCTGACGCAAAAGGTTCCGATTCCATGCACCTGCCCGGTGCACACCCGCTTTTTTTCCAGCCCCCCGGAGTGTAATAATTCAAAACCCATCATATTCCTGCCGCACAGTAGATTATTACCGCTATAAATTAGTCGCTCAAGTGCCATCTCATTCTTCTTTTTTTTATCAACTCGTTCGCCGGCCCCGGTATAATGTAATATCTCCCTTTCCGCTCTTTTCTGAATCGGACACCCAGCCCAGCCCCTGCCATCGCGATGTAACAAAACAGGGCAGCTTTATTGCGTTGCATTCTTTGCCAGCAGTGAGAGATAAATGGTGTAATCGTGTTTTCCAGATGAGTTTCGTTCCAAAGTCGCCTGCATGAACGAGCTGGTGCAGATCAAGTGCAACCCACACTCGCGAATCGCCGTCTACTCGGCCAGTTTCGGCCGCACCGAGTACGAGAGCATCCAGTGCCCGCAACCCCAGGGGGTTCCTGAGGAAAGTAAGTCCGAGTGCAATGATGATGATGATCCTCTTCAGCTACCCCAACCCCAACTAACTTTCCTTTCTTTGTTTACGTGTGGCTGATGCTGCGTGGGCTTTGCTGAAATTAGTCGCGTTTTTCGGGCGAAAAGTCTCGAGACGGCCGAGGGAGTTAACTTCATGAAGCTGCTAAGCCGGTCGATTCGTTTCTCCCGACCGGGCAAAAGTTTCGCGTGTATTTCGAGCTGCTCGTTGTGTGCATGTATGCACGTGTCTGCCAGATGCAAAGAAAATATATCCCGACCGTGCGAAATGGGCTCTTCGGACTGCCGGCTTTTTGTGTGTCTGACTTTCTCACCTGACACACCTCGCCTGCTTTTATAGAGTAGCACAGCGGTTAAGTGGGCGATGATGATTTTCCCAGTTGAAGTACAATTAAGTGGTGCAGAGTTATTACTCGATCATTTCTCTTATTATTTATATGGGGTTCCTTTTTATTAAAAAAAAACTAGTTCTAAATATTCTTGTAGTTAATTTTAAAAAAATAATAAGACAATGGAATCCGCAAGTACAATGTAATTAATTGCAGTTGGAGATTTTTATTTTTCAAAAGCAAGACTAAATTTGGTGAAAATCCCTATTCCAAAGCGGCCTCTAATTATCTAATAACATCCCATCTGATGTCAAATGTATTGAGGGAATAATGTTAAATTAAAATCAGCGTATAAATTGATTTGAAAAAACGGTGTCAACATATTTTATTGTGGAGAGATTGAAAAGAGACGATTCGTTCAGGACTGCCAACCAAAAAAACATAGTCTGGAATATACTAGATATATACCAATTTATGTATTTAAATTCAAAATCAAATCCAAAATATTGAGAGATATTCACGTGCTGAGTTAGCTAAGCTCAGTTTTTAGTAAATTCATAATCCATAATTTTGTCTTGTAAACATTATTGAGCTACACAATAGATGCAGTACAGCCAGAATCCGCAACGACTTGTGCGAAAATCAATAAACGGAGCCTATCAAAACCGGGCGTCGTCGACACACACGTGTGCGCGGCACATACATTTAATTGAATCCGTGGTCCCAAAGTGCTAATTTCGCAAATTCCATGAGACGAAACAGAGCGTGCTGAAATTGAACACCGCGCTTTTGAGATCCGTTGTATTTTGAGCCGAGCTTACTTCCAACCGAATAGTTTGCGTGAAATCCAATCTGAGTTAATGTTGCACTTGTCGGCCGCCGCTAATTTGAATTCGAGGAACGCGTCCTGCACGCAAAACGCAGAATAGTTTTGTCCGTGTTGGTGTAATTTGCAGCAGAGCGAATTGTTGTGGTTCCGTCCGGCAAAATATCTTCATTAGCCCAAAGTGAATTCTCTCTCTCTCTCCTTATTCGAGACGGAAAGAATGGAAACGCACCCTGCTCTCGCCACTTGATAAATTGCTGCACGGATGAACACATTTATATAAACAGGACCCACGCGGTGATTAAACGCTTAGGAACGACGAGTTTCGCAACTTTGTACTTTCGAATGTCTCTGTTAATGCTTTCCTAAATGGCGCTAATTACGTGTGAAAATGTTGTTTGTTTTATCCGGCGCTCGTTAATTCCCGACGCACTTTTGTAGCCGCAAACTGCACACACGCCACGGCACGCTGTAATCGAGGGCAGCTAGGTGTGGAGCAGGATAATTTTGCCTGCTTGGGCGGATCCAGTCTGGCTGGCTGCCTCGTCTGCCCTGGCTGCGCTCGGCGCTCCGAATTATATTTAATTAATTTGACCTCCCCTCGGGGAATTAATTAGAAATCAATGAAGCTCTCTGCGTCCGGATTTTTTGCCGGGCGTCCTCCGACCTGAAAATTAAAGCGCAGCGACACACGTGGACGCTTTTTGCTCCGGTGTCCAATTAAACACACGATCTCTGCCCAATGGCGGTTTTTAAACGTTTTTTTTTTTTACCAAACTCTTCATTTGCAAATGTTTTTCCCTCTTTTTTTATCAATCGCCTTTTACATTTTAATTTGATATTTAAAGCCGAGACACGCTTAATTTTTTTTTCTTTTAGACAACCTTAAAACAATTTTTTAATAAATATTAAAAAATTGTAGTAGAATTTCACGATTGAGGGTTGATTCACGGTGTTTTGAATTTAAAGTCAGCTTTTCCTCGATGGGTTTTGTGAGTTGTTAAATTAAAATAGATTCAAATCACCATATATGAATTTTTTTAGTAACAAATCAATCTTTCGTGCATGGGCTTGTTCACTTTTCAATAAAAAAGTGCTATTAAATAAATTAAATTTGTCATCATTTTTCGTGTTTGTTAAATTAAACCGAAACAAAAACGTTTTTTACTGCTCTTCGTGTTTTTGCTTAACCTTGTAAATGAAAATGACATTACTCGCTAATGCCAAGCCATTACCCACTTCATGATGCCACGCGTTAAAAAGTTTTTGGGCCAAATTTATCATATAAAATCGGCGCTTTTTATCGCATCTGCCGAGGCATAAAACAAACTATACAGGCCAGACAGCGCAGGGTATTAATTTAGATTAAATTCGCAGACCTTGGTGGTTGTTGTTTGTTGCAGGCCCCTGCCCGGCTCTTTATCAGATTAACGAGCGAACTAACAAGGCTTTATACGCGCGCGCGTGTGTCATAGGCGAAAAATTCTCCCTTCCGCGCGGCATCCGGTGGGCGCGGCAGCCTCGGCCGCGCATTAATATTCATGTGTAAATTGCAGCTTATTACACTTTTGATGCTAACCGGCCGCGCGCCCAACTTTTCAAATGCCGAGTGAGCAAGATAGAGAATATAATAAAATAAAAATTCGCAGCGAGCGCGAAATGGAAAAAACTGATTTTCCGCGCCGACTGTTTCTTTCCTCATCCCGAGGCAGCTCAAAATACCTCATTCCTTGTTTTGCGTTTTGAATAATCTTTTTGCGTTGTTAGCACCACCGTGTATCATCTCTTCCCAGGACATATTACATTTTCACCTGCGCGCCATTCTCCTGTTGCCGTTGTTGTTGTTGTTTGTTTGTAATATAATAATATATCAGCACACGCATATTATGCACGTGGGCACAAAAAAGGCCCAAAGTTTGTGAATTGGCCAAAGTTTCGCCTGTTATGTGTATGGCCGGTCTTTTTCTCGGCAACTTTTGTCAAAGTTCATTCGCGTGTGTGTAAAATGAAATGGTTGCCTGCCCGGGTAATCTCGCCCTCAACAAAAAGGGCCTTTGTCGACGAGACTACAACTTTCTTCTTTTGCCAAGAAGTAGTTATCTCGAGAATTCATATTTCCCACTTCCACGCACGGCCCTACAGCAGCGCAGCTTTGCCGAAACTTTTCATGACGTCTGGCGGAATTTTAAAATTTAATTGCGGATTACTTAGAGGGAGGGCAAAGCAGAAGGGCGCGAAAATTAAGTTAACATGCAACGAGAATGCCCACGCCTTTTCTTTCTTTCTCTCTTTTTTTGTGCCGTATCTCCTTAATTAAAAGGCCCCGCGAAAGAAAGATTCGTCTTTTTGGGAGAAATTTTTAGCGCCGCCCGCCCAAGAGCTTTATTATTGTTTTAACACAACGGCGTGTTAATTAAGAAAGAGAGCCATTTAATCGCGGCCCCTCCCGTGCACTCTTTCTTCATCCCTCTAATTAAATTCGCATTGTGTGCTCAATTAAGATGATTGATTGATTAACTGGGTGCGTTTGACAGCGTGCTTGACGAGCTACGCGACGGAGACGGTGATGCAGCTGTGCCACGGCAAGAGACGCTGCCAGTTGAGCTCCGACACGGCCACTTTCGGCGACCCTTGCAGCGAAAACTCCCGCATGTACCTCAAAGTGGTCTACACGTGTGGTAAGTGACCAGCCTTTTCCCTCTTTGCGATAAATATTCAAGTGGATCCTTGGTAAAGAGAGGATGTAATTCAAACACTCTTTCCGCCGATCGATTTTATCTAGGAATCACCATTTTTGGCAAAACTATCTTGTTTGTTTGCTCAAGCCACCATCAGTCTAGTTAATTTTTTAAATCAATTTTTTTTTTAAATTTTTTTTTCATACACAAAGTAAAAAATATCAAACTGTCAATTTTCATTGTACAAAAAAAAAACGATTTAAAAAACTCATTTCAACACCATATTCATCCATCACTGTACTTTTGATTGACTTCCCTTTTTTATGGAAAAGCTCATTCCAACTTTTGCTTTGGAAAAACGCTCAACTGGTGAATGAAATCTCTTCTTTTGTGTTGCAAATGCAAAAACACCGCAACTGACACACTTTCCAACTGGTGCTAAACGATATGCTGATTTTTCTTTCCGTTCGCGTTATAGTTTGCTTTTTCATGATGAGCCTGGAACTCCCGGTTGGAAAATCGAGCAGTTTTGAAAGATAAACTTTGAACATTATATTTTATGCACCAGAGGAGTCCCTGTGCAAAATTGATTTTCACAGTTTGCGCAGGAGATGCACTGAATTAGTGAACATTATCATCCTTACAGTTCAGTAAACCTGGAATTTTTCAATATAATTTTGATTATATGCATGTGAAAATTTCATATTGAAAGAGCCTTTGTCTAAAGTAACTTAATTAAATCACTTGTGTAAAAACAAATTGCTTACAATCAACTCTCTTTTTTTATAAAAAGTCACATTTTAGTCGTATAAATTTTCAGCCAGATAATTTAGAGCAAACTTTTTGATCTCACTTTGCACAGTAAGAGAAAAACTTGGCCTTCTTCAGTCACTCTGCGCAAAGTTTGGTTTGCGCAAACCGCAGCTCACACATACACTACACAAATTGCGAGCGGAAGGAAATATTTCAGCAAGCACTTAGGAAATATGTGCCTGCAAAATATTTAGCGAGGCGGAGCACCAAAATCTCTGGCATTACACGACGAGTCTTTTCCGAGCTCGCCGAAATTTATTAATGGCACATACACGGGCCAAAGTTTCTCCGAAATAATCTCTTGGAATTTTACACACCCTCTCTTGGGCCGAGATTGCAAAATCAATGGCCCGATGCTAAGTAAATATCAACCGCAAAGGAGTCCGAGTTGGCCACTCACTTTATATTAACCACGGTGCATTTGCCTGCAGTTCCGAGACGGGTGCTGAAAGAGCGCTATGACGAGGGTCAAGAGGAGGACGAGTTTTCGACGCCGACCTCGTTCGTCGGCGACTACGATATTGACGAGGGTGTCGACATGGACTCGGTGTCGCCGGCGCCGGCGGCCGCCAACCCTGAGCAGCCGCAACCCACCAAAAGTTTGTTCGCGCCGCCGCCGCCGCCTCCGTTGACGCCGCCGTCGCCGCCAACCAACAAGCACCACCTTCCCAAAGGTAATTATTTGATCGATCAGTTTCGCGCTGATTGCCAGCAGCGTTCTGCTGCATAATACGGAGCAGCGTTTTGCATGTGTTGCCAAAACTTTTCTTCCCTCTCCTCACACACACAAACAGTACCGCATCCGTGCACGGCTTTTCCCTCTTTAGAACTTTCTTTGCACTACGGGCCACGCACAGCCAAATCGCTGCTGCCGACAGATCTCTTTTTGTCCAAGTTGGGCAAATTTCCAGAATTTTATACTTCATCTGTCAAAAAATAAATAAATCTGATTAATGTTTTTTTTTTCACAGAAAAAATATTAAGCAGTTTTTACTAAAATTAGACTTATTATTAAAATTAGTTATATTTTGCATTTAATTTCTATTATTTTTATGAAATAAATATATTCCTGTATGCAAAAATTTAGTTATCAATTCTCAATGAAATTAATGTTTTCGGCCTACAGTTGTTAATAATTGTTACATGGGAATACAGAATAAATTAAATAATTTTCAATCAATAGAGTTGCATTGATAAAGTTCATCTGGAAATGAAATGGAATCAAAGTTAAAAAAAATATATATATTAAATATCGTCTCAATTCTCAGTTTTCTTAATTCTTATTTTGTATTTAATAAAATTTTCAAAATGTAAATTTATGCTTTTAGATTTTCTTACATGTTGATAGACAAATGTTCCCTAAATTATCAAAATTAGCATTTGTTATAAGAGCTGAAAAAAATTTAGAAATTCTTAAAAAAAATCCTTTTGCAGATATAACTCCTGTGCGTGGCCCGCATTTTAGGCAGCCTGGAATTATGCCTTTCTTAATGCGGGCTGCTCTGCTTGTTTAAATAAAGGGTCGAGACGAGAAAAGCAGAAGAAAAAGAAAAGTGTGTCGCATGTTTTTGCTCTCTCTCTTCATCTTTCGCTCTTTTTGTCACTCCTTTTTAAATTTAACCTCTCCTCACAGCAGTGGGGCGTCGGTCCGTTGGTGGTTTTTTAAAAAGCTCCTCAAGCAGGTCGGTCTCTCAGGCACTCTCTTATATTCTGCTCATATTTATATTGATGTTTGCATTTCGCCGCCGTCGCGCGCGCGGCTTCTGTTCTCTCTGAGCGTGTGTGCCAAGAATGAAAAGCTTTGATACTTCTTCGCTTTGGGGAAAATGAGCGCCGCTTTTTCTTCCGCCTGATACACTTAGCGGTGAATAAAAAGCGCCCGATGAGATATCCCGCTTTTGTTATTAGGCAAATATAGGTTTTTTTTATTCACCACCCAAGGAAATTTTTTTCAACGTCTTGTTTGCTGGCAAAAATCGTAAAATTGTGCACACATAATTACAAAGAGCCCTAGAGAAGCAGCCTAGAAATTCATCTCGCTCGCAGTCGTTAGCCGGTTTCGTCATCAGGTCTGAACAAACACCGATTCATCTTCATCTCTCTGTTTGAGCAAATACACATCTATACTTGTCATCCGGAGCCGAAAATGGCACAAAATAGATTACACATGCCACTTTTTCGCTTAATCGAAATCGACTTTTAATCTGCCCGGACCACCAAACTTATGGTAATCTGTTTCCTGCAGTTCAGCTGCAAAAAATTTAGAGTTTCGCGCAACAACTGTGTCATTATCGCTGTGGAAATGAGGAAAAGCGGCGTTCGCTTTGAACAAGTGTTTGCACTCACTTTGCGCCGCATGTATTTTCCTCCGGCGGTTCCGCCACCCCGTTTTATTTACATTTTACTTTCAGTGGTTGTTCATCACACGCAGCCGAAACTGCCGGAATTATTATTCTTTTGAGAGGCCAAGGTTTTTTCTTTTAAAGTTTTTATCGTGTTTAAACTTTCTCTTTTAGAATTTGTGCCTTTTTTTCTTGAGCTATATTTTATTTATTAAGAAATTATGAATACAAAAATTATTTTGCGGATATACCCTATTATTTCCCAATTATTGTTACAAGTAGATGATATTGTTTGCCTTTTCAAAATTGAGCTTCATTAAAGCAAAAACCTATTTAAAATTCGCAGTGTCCCAAAAAGCTCGTGTTATAAAATTTGCATTACTTGAATTTGAGTAGAGTCATAAATCTTCTCTAGATCCCATTGCAATTTGCGTGCGGCGTTGTTTCGTTTTGTGTCCCGCCGTTTAATTTCCTCTTCCCGTCGCTCACCCTCGCCTCCGATCCACCCAGTTTGTTCAGCTCAAGTGGAAAAAGAAGCCAAAAGTTTTATTTCCTCGCGCCAACGGGACACACTGCGTCGGCGGCGAAAGTGGGTGCCTATGTCAACAGTGAGTGTATTAACATAACTGAGCGTAAGCCACTCTGGCTTAGCAGCCGTCTCGTTATTTCCATTGCCGCGCGACAACAATAATAATAATAACAGCGGTGATGCTCGAAAAACACGGAGAAAAACGGACCTTCCCAGTGTAATAAAAATGAAGTTTAGTGCGCCGTTTGTCGGGCCGCCTGTTAATAAAGCATGCAGAGTTGAGTTATTACGTTTCGCAAACACAATTTTTCTTCGGCCTCTGCGTGTGTCACCGACGAAAAAACACCCGCTCATGAAAACACATGACCGCCTTTCTCTTTGGACCACTCCGGGTGTTTACCATTTTTAAGCGAGGATTACACCCGTGTTTAATATTTCATCCGCAGCTTTCTGCGCGCGACGGCTCGTCTTTCTCTGCTCCGAGATGAATTCCACGTGGGACGACCTCCCTAATAAATGCACGGTCAGCTTTAATTGGGTAAAAGCGGCTGCATAATTCACGCGCCGAGGGGTTTCCTCTTATTTCTCTCACTCTCCGAGGTGGTTTTTCTTTCGGTGGTGGCTGGATAAATAGACGGTGGCTGGTCTCTTTAGTACACACGTAGATACAGCGATGAAGATGCCGCTTGTCGCTTAGAGCGTCTCGCTTGCTTGTTTCAGTTATCATTGCTACCAAAGATTTATCCCTCCAGGGAGCCGCAGACGCGAGTAATTGCACCACGGTGATTTTTAACAAAGTAGCTCCGCGCGCCAACACCCTGGGTTTCGTCTCCCAGTGGGTGGACACGTACGCCTTCCTCAGCAGTGAGTAGTGCATGCATTTTTTACCACTTTTGCCTGATTTGCATTTTGCTCGCCCCTACATCCCTGAACCCCCGACCTAGATTTTCAGCTCCGTGCGTGTATATGTAAGTATGAAGCGGCGCAGCAGAGCAAACACCTGTTTTTGCTCCCGCAGCTCCATCCAATTTGCACAGGCCCCCAAATGGCTTTCTATAAATCCGGTTGAATTGAATGTCCCGCTCTCTTATTGCCCACGGGGGTCGTTTTTCGCTCGGTCCCTGCTGAAAAGCGCCGGCGAATTTGTGGATATGAGGAAAGGTGGGAATTTGTCATGCGATTCATGCGTGAATTTCATCCCAATGGCCGGCCAATCACGATTGAATAACTTTTCAAGCCCAAACTTGCTCGACCGATAAGGCCGCAGTGACAAATGTGCAAATCAACGGAAAAACTCCTCACATTCAAACTTTTTTCTGACCGTCTGTTAAAAAAGACTCAGTTTGGAGATGAAGACCACTCTATTTTCTATGTTCATTGTTCCCATTGTTCAATCTTATTTAAACTAAAACCCAGTCTGAATCAATAATGATAATCACATTCTATGCTTCACACATTATAGAAATAAGCAGTACTACCTTAATTCATAATAAAAAATAAAAAAAATGAATTTTTCTGAATTTTCACATTGTTAGAATCCATCAAAGTGGAAATGAATCTCAAAAATTTGTTGATTAAATTTTCATTCCCTTGTGCCTGGAGTACTATTTAATGCCAAGTAAATACCGCAATAAGTGTGACTGCCTTCTTGTTGAACACAGCTGCAAGTTCACAAAGCAAATCGCGTCGATCTGACGATACATCATCACCTACTGCTGTTACATGGTTAACTTCAAACGGCAAACAACTTTGCTCGAGCCTCCAGGGCTTTTCAGCAAACGGAAACAGAGCGCCCGAGTTGTGTGGCGTAGGCAACCTGCTCGACGCCGCCGTGTTCGGGTTGCATAATCTCTATTAATGACGAGCTACCGGAGCGTTTTTCGCTCGTGATGAAATTGTCAAAATCGAGGCGGATCGCTTCGTGACTTGTCACCTGTCAACTCGGGCCACGCAACAATTTAAAGGGAATGGATTATACTGCGGTGGGTTTAGCGGCTGGATTTCCATTGTCCTCCATTGCTCCCAGGCGAATGATTGATGCCAAATGGAATGTCAACACGCATCGATTTTTGCTCACCGCCTTCCGCTGGCTTTTGTTCTAATTTGATTGTTGCTCTGAGCAAATTACTCGAGTGCAAAAAAATCCCCTTTGTTCCCTTGTCTTGCGTATTCTCAGAAAAAAGTATAATAAAAAGAAAATAAAAAAGCAGCCAGTTTCATTCTGCTTTAATATAAGCTTCATGGAGCATAATGAGATTCGTATTAAAACTTTTTGCGTTGCCTCGAGACAGTATTATCAGGAGAAGAAACTTTTCAGTGAGAAAACGGCAGATTTACAAAATGCCAGGAGCCAGTCTAATTGAGTGTAATTAAACAGTTCTTTGAACTTTTTGAAGTGGAAATATTTCAATAACTGAACACTCTTTGTGAAATTTAATTTCCTGGGGATAATCAATGATCAAAGGCAGTTGAAAAATAATCCTCTTTTATTAAATATTTTCAGTACAAACATATCAATAAGAAGACAAATTTTTAGAGAAAACTTCTTGAATTCTTTATCAAATTGAGTATTTTTTCTTTTAGGTCAGGAAAAAGTAAAAGAAAAAAATTAATTCACCCAAAAAAGACACAAAATATTTGCCACATATTATACAAAGCATTTTATTAATGCAATGTTTCTTGTTTGGCGGCGCTTGCAGAAAACGAGGAGAAGCTGTACCTGTACCTGATCGTGAGTTGCGGCCTCGGCGTGGTGCTTCTGCTGCTGCTGGTGATCGCGCGGCTGCTGGTGCAGAAGCGCAGGGCCACCGGCGGCGCCAAGTACAACCCGAACGACTCGCTGCCCAACGAGTTCGCCGAGGAGATTTCAGAAATCGACGCCGACATCAGTCTGGCGGCGACCACCATCCCGGCCATCCCGCCGCCCCCGCCGGCCCCCGCGCAGAGCGAGGTGGTCCGGTACGGGGGCGGCGTGCGGAGGCACGACAGCGACACCAACCCGCGCTCGCTCAGCAGGCCGGGCAACAGTCAGTACTACTACGGGTGAGGCGAGCTGTGTGGGGGGTGCTCCATCATCCCACCGCCCCCCACCTATTGCATCTGAAGGACTCGTCGCACTCTCCAGTGGTGCAGGCTGTGATCATAAATTATATTTAATTAGCACGAATTGAAAGAAGCTTATATCAGACTGATCGATTGTGCTCTCGGACGTGATTATTCCGGTGCGTGTGAGTGAATGAGTGCGCGCGGACAAAACAACTGAAAAAAAGTAAATTCACCCTGTTGCGCGGCGCGCGGTGTTAAATTGATGTACATTATGTCTCTCTCGTTGTTGTTGTTTGACACGAACGCCGCGTGTTTGACGAGCGAGCGAGTTCTTGCTGTTGACAAACCCCGTGAGAAAAGATTTTATACACATTGCGAATCCCCTGCCCTGTTTAAAAGCTCTCTGCTGCTGTTTATATTAAAAGTATTTATTATTAAAAAAAACCTAATGCGTCTCTCTCATCACACTCAAACCCTGAATCTGCGACGCACATTTGTATTCTAGAAATCATAATTTCAAGATTTATACATAGCAGTAAAAATAATCTTCTTTCTTGTTCAAAATGGTAAAAAATTTATTTTGAATTACAAACATGAAAAAAAAAAATAAATAGAAAGCAACGGTGAAAAACTCATTTGAACCTGAACCTCCAAAATCTTTCAGTACAATTTTACAAACAATTCATATAATTTTGCAATTATATTTTTTTTTTTATTGACGGCAATGAAAAGTTTTGTGAAATGTGTTATTATTTTTGTCAGGCCATTAATAAAACAAACAAAATTCCTGATTGAGAGATTCTTAAATAAAATGGTTATTTACAAAAGTAATTTAAATGCTGAGAATTATCAAAAATATCCATAATAAAGCATAACATAATTACAATAATAATTGTAATATTTTAAATCAGTTTACTCTGGGCTGATGTAAAGAAATAAGTTTACACTCAGCTGATGTAAAAAAAGTGTACACTCGGTCGATGTCAAGATGTAATTTTACACTGAGCTGATGTTAAAAAATAAGTTTATGCGCGGCTGAGGTAAAGAAATAAGTTGTGGTTTACATTTTGGTTCACAGCTTTTGGACCAGCTAGATAAGGAGGCTGTACAAAGATTCTGGCAATTCTGCCAATCAATTCAAAATAAAATTCGCACTTTATTGCCCACCGCCTGTCGATAAAATCTACCTGAAGCTGGCAGGCGAGTAAATACCTCGGCTTTTGCCGCCACCCAATATACAAGGTGAGGGTGACAAGTAGTCTTTGCCTGTTGCGTATTGCATGAAGGGGAGACCTCAGAATGCTAAACAGTTAAGACCCTTTTTTGCGGTGCGAGAGGTAAGCGGATTTTAGAGAGCTTCTTTTTTATTTGCAAGCGTCAGAGTGGAGAAAATAATCAACTCTCTATTTATTTCACGCTCAATATTGCAGAGTTATATAAAATCTTTAAGAATGAAAGAAGTGGCAGTGCTTTATTAATAAGTATATAACAAATTTAAATAAAACAAACTGGAAAAGACTTCTAAAATTTTAATGGGTGTAAAAATCTAAATAAAAAGTAAATTGTATTTCTAGTTAATTTTTCATATAAACGATTTGAAGTACTTCTTTTTAAAATAAAGCCGGAAGAGAATTTAAAAAAGTGCGTTTTTCCCCTCTTTCCCGTTTTTTATTTTAGTTTGTTTTCAATTTTTTTCCTTGCATGATAAATCTCATGGGTAAAAATAGTCTCGAGGTACAATAATAAACTTAATAATTTAAAATTAGGCTATAAAAAGCAATTTATTCCCTTGCAAAACGTGGCTCTTGCGCGGCCTTAAGTTTCAGGAGAGCTTGCTGGTGTCGGTTGCCCTTCCCAGCCCCAGGCAAGGCATAATATAATGCCATTACCATTATAGAATGGTAAAAAAATCTTATAGATTTGCTTACAATTTTCAGTTTCCCAAAAGTAAGAAGAAGAGTGGAGATACGACGTCGCGATGACACCTGAAATTCATTCATCACACGTACACGCGTCGGATCAAATCTCATCTTCATGGAAATGCGAGACGACGCTCAGGGGGTGAAATCATGCTAAAACCACCCCGCGTCCAATTTTACGCCGCGACGGTTCCGCTAGGAAAGAACCTGCCGCTGACATTTGAGAGCGTCGCCGACACATTTTAATCTCTGGCTGGCTTATAATCGCGCGCCCCCGAGTTTTCTGGCTGCGGCGCTGAATTAAACTAAACAACAACCGGCACTCTCATTCATTTCAATTTGTCCAACTTTTATTGCTGTGCGAAATTAAATCGTTGCTCCGCAGCCACTCGACGGATTCATATGCATATTTTATAACTTTCTAAGCAGATTAAATATGCAGCTTTTGCTCTGTCGTGCAATCGCAACTTGCTGTCGTCTCGTCGTCGTTCGCATTATTGTTATTACAAATGTGCAAACACAAGTGGCTGTGTTGCATTGTGTAATTAGCTTTTGTGGAATGAGAGGTATATGAATTGCAAGCGGAAATTTGCATTTTGTTAATATGAGCTAGAAAACAGAGCTGCCGTGAAATCTAGTTAACAACGCTTGTTCTATTTTTGATATGCTAGAAACAGCAATTTAATCAATTATTCAACAATATAATATATTATTATATGATTAATTAGAAAGCTTTCTTTAATATAATAATTCAGAGGTAAATTAATTTTTATTGATAAAATTTGATCAACTTCAAATTTAGCCTCTATTAAACATTGTCAAAAACTCTTATTTAGGGTGCATAATTTTTCAAATGGAATAAAAAAATTCAATAACTTGGTTTTACACAAAAAGGAATCATCAAACGCTGGTCTTTCTTTTCTTGTGCTACATAATAAAGTTTATTGTGCTCCTTTCAACAGAAAATAGAATTTTTGCATCCAAACCAGCTTATTTTGCTTAAAATTTGTTACATGATATGATCAATGCAAAGAAAATATTTTTATGCTCATTTTTAAAAAGCTTTTTAACAATGACAAGTTTAATAATATCACCAGAAAAGTAAATGTATGTGCACTTAACAATACGATTATTGCAGCTTAATAACTTATCCAAGGTGCATTATTATTAAAGTAGTTCAAATATAAATCATAAGTTTCAGAGTGAAGATTTTCCACTGGCTTGAAGGGCTCATTTTTAACAAATTCAGTCAGAGGGATTCTGTATGACGATTAAAATGTAGTCCTTATCTAAAAATTAGATTTATTAAAAATTAAAGAGGATTTTTCATCATAAAAACTACCAGGAGCCAGCATGATTTCATGCTTCTTGGTCCTAACCCTGAGGAATGTGAGGTCATTGGTGGGGTCCAAGTCTCGAACTACACTGCGAGCTTTATCTGCGAGCTGGCTGACTAGCCCAGCGTATTGCACGGTCGAAGTGTTGTCCATCGTGCTTTTGATTGGAATTCCTGCGGCAATGAAAAAGCAGAAGTTAGATAGAAAATAAATAATACAATTCTAACCTTCAGAATTGACGACGATTGTGCCAAAAACACCTTTGTGGGACTGGATCCTTTTCAAAGTTTCTTCAACTTCTGCGGCCTGAAATTGGAATAAAAATAGATCAATTATGCTTAATTTATATTCCACTAACAAAACGTATTATAAAATTAATAAAATTCCTTGCTCAACAAAATTTTAACTTGGCATCTTCGTCAATAATTAAATTTTTCACAACATATTGCAGTACATTACATACATTATTTTATTCTTTGGAACAAAAAAATATTAAATTAATATCAAAACGATGTTTTAATAAAAAATAAAATTCACAATTTTTAACAAACTACATTTGGGGGTCCATAGAGACTTTTTGTCATCTCCGCTGCGATCAAATTAATCATTTCTTTAATTATAATTTAATATGTTGTAAAAGGGCACTATAAGTTGTAATAAATAACCATAAATTAATAATATAATAATGTAATATTAATGCATCCGGTTAAACTCTGATAGGAAACTTTTTAAATTCATTTCAAATTTAAAATACAAATATGTACTCTATAAGTGAATAACTCATGCAGTTTGTCATTTTTATGATTTTCTTACCATTTTAATAAGTTGATCCAATCTTTTTAGTTAATTTAAATAGGTGAAAAACGAAAAACTGCATGGAAACGGAAACTTGTTTAACACTTTTTTGTTTTGGTTACCATAGGACAAAAGTGCCACCAACATAATTTTATTTGAAAGGAAACAGGAGAAAAATTTAAATAAGATTATAATTCAAAATTCATAAAAATAGATAAAAAATTAATGTAAATTTTAAAAATTTTATATATTTCGTTAAAATTTAAACTAATTGACAGAAATTTATAATATTCTTGAACTTTGTTTTGTTGGCTAACCATATGCAAATTTGAAAATGTAGGAAGCAAAGCTCTGAGAACTTGGCCACTCGAGTTAGCCACTCAAAAGAAGTTGGCCACTCGGGAGTGCTGGGCAGATATATATTGATCAGTGTTGCCAACATAATGGAAATTTTATTAATTTTTGTGGTTTTGTGGCAGTCATTGCAATTAACTCGACGCGGTCTCACGAATACCTGCACTACACAAATACACCTGAAGCTCTGTAAACAAAGTCAAGAAGAAATAAATTCATCCAAGTTATAAGCCATTGTGGGAAAGACAAGCAGGTTAAATAGCAATTTGTTCCTTTAAAAAATATATATTATTAATATATCTTTTAAAAATGCAAATAAAGTTGAACCCTGGCGACGAAATATTTTTTTAACATTCCTATCAGGGTTTTTTGAAGAATAGCTGCAATTTCGTTGGATGGTTTTAAGATGGAGGGTAAACAATTAAATGGAAATGGTACTAAACACATTACAAGAGAGATGCTGGGGGGAAAATAAAAATTACTTTTATTAAAAATTAAACAACATATAACGCCGCGAGATAAATAAACTAAAATTTAAACTAAGTTAAATATCGCCGATCGATGATTTATTTCAGATGGTGAGTACTGGTGGAGATTTGGGGAAGGGGGATTTCATCAATGCCCCTTTAGTACAGGGGCTGCTAGAGGTGTAATCCTTCATTCCTGAAAGATTTAGCCCAATCTACCGTTTAGTTAAATTTAAAAAAAATTAAAAGTAATTTTTTTAAAGATTTTCGGGGTATTTTAAAAGTGGCTGAGTCCTGGTGGGGATTTGGAGGGGAGTTCATCAATGCCCTTTTGCACAGGGGTTGCTAAGGGTGTAATCCTACATTCCTGAAAGATTTAGCCCAATCTACCGTTTAGTTAAATTTAAAAAAAATTAAAAGTAATTTATTTAAAGATTTTTGGGGTATTTTAAAAGTGGCTGAGTCCTGGTGGGGATTTGGAGGGGAGTTCATCAATGCCCTTTTGCACAGGGGTTGCTAAGGGTGTAATCCTTCATTCCTGAAAGATTTAGCCCAATCTACCGTTTAGTTAAATTTAAAAAAAATTAAAAGTAATTTATTTAAAGATTTTCGGGGTATTTTAAAAGTGGCTGAGTCCTGGTGGGGAGTTGGAGGGGAGTTCATCAATGCCCTTTTGCACTGGGGTTGCTAAGGGTGTAATCCTTCATTCCTGAAAGATTTAGCCCAATCTACCGTTTAGTTAAATTTAAAAAAAATTAAAAGTAATTTATTTAAAGATTTTCGGGGTATTTTAAAAGTGGCTGAGTCCTGGTGGGGATTTGGAGGGGAGTTCATCAATGCCCTTTTGCACAGGGGTTGCTAAGGGTGTAATCCTTCATTCCTGAAAGATTTAGCCCAATCTACCGTTTAGTTAAATTTAAAAAAAATTAAAAGTAATTTTTTTAAAGATTTTCGGGGTATTTTAAAAGTGGCTGAGTCCTGGTGGGGATTTGGAGGGGAGTTCATCAATGCCCTTTTGCACAGGGGTTGCTAAGGGTGTAATCCTACATTCCTGAAAGATGTAGCCCAATCTACCGTTAAGTTAAATTTAAAAAAAATTAAAAGTAATTTTTTTATTGATTTTCGGGTTATTTTAAAAGTGGCTGAGTCCTGGTGGGGATTTGGAGGGGAGTTCATCAATGCCCTTTTGCACAGGGGTTGCTAAGGGTGTAATCCTACATTCCTGAAAGATGTAGCCCAATCTACCGTTAAGTTAAATTTAAAAAAAATTAAAAGTAATTTTTTTAAAGATTTTCGGGTTATTTTAAAAGTGGCTGAGTCCTGGTGGGGATTTGGAGGGGAGTTCATCAATGCCCTTTTGCACAGGGGTTGCTAAGGGTGTAATCCTTCTTTCCTGAAAGATTTAGCCCAATCTACCGTCTAGTTAAATTTAAAAAAAATTAAAAGTAATTTTTTTATTGATTTTCGGGTTATTTTAAAAGTGGCTGAGTCCTGGTGGGGATTTGGAGGGGAGTTCATCAATGCCCTTTTGCACAGGGGTTGCTAAGGGTGTAATCCTTCATTCCTGAAAGATTTAGCCCAATCTTCCGTTTAGTTAAATTTAAAAAAAATTAAAAGTAATATATTTAAAGATTTTCGGGGTATTTTAAAAGTGGCTGAGTCCTGGTGGGGATTTGGAGGGGAGTTCATCAATGCCCTTTTGCACAGGGGTTGCTAAGGGTGTAATCCTTCATTCCTGAAAGTTTTAGCCCAATCTACCGTTTAGTTAAATTTAAAAAAAATTAAAAGTAATTTTTTTAAAGATTTTCGGGGTATTTTAAAAGTGGCTGAGTCCTGGTGGGGATTTGGAGGGGAGTTCATCAATGCCCTTTTGCACAGGGGTTGCTAAGGGTGTAATCCTACATTCCTGAAAGATGTAGCCCAATCTACCGTTAAGTTAAATTTAAAAAAAATTAAAAGTAATTTTTTTATTGATTTTCGGGTTATTTTAAAAGTGGCTGAGTCCTGGTGGGGATTTGGAGGGGAGTTCATCAATGCCCTTTTGCACAGGGGTTGCTAAGGGTGTAATCCTACATTCCTGAAAGATGTAGCCCAATCTACCGTTAAGTTAAATTTAAAAAAAATTAAAAGTAATTTTTTTAAAGATTTTCGGGGTATTTTAAAAGTGGCTGAGTCCTGGTGGGGATTTGGAGGGGAGTTCATCAATGCCCTTTTGCACAGGGGTTGCTAAGGGTGTAATCCTTCTTTCCTGAAAGATTTAGCCCAATCTACCGTTTAGTTAAATTTAAAAAAAATTAAAAGTAATTTTTTTAAAGATTTTCGGGGTATTTTAAAAGTGGCTGAGTCCTGGTGGGGATTTGGAGGGGAGTTCATCAATGCCCTTTTGCACAGGGGTTGCTAAGGGTGTAATCCTTCATTCCTGAAAGATTTAGCCCAATCTACCGTTTAGTTAAATTTAAAAAAAATTAAAAGTAATTTTTTTAAACATTTTCGGGTTATTTTAAAAGTGGCTGAGTCCTGGTGGGGATTTGGAGGGGAGTTCATCAATGCCCTTTTGCACAGGGGTTGCTAAGGGTGTAATCCTTCTTTCCTGAAAGATTTAGCCCAATCTACCGTTTACTTAAATTTAAAAAAAAAATTAAAAGTAATTTTTTTAAAGATTTTCGGGGTATTTTAAAAGTGGCTGAGTCCTGGTGGGGATTTGGAGGGGAGTTCATCAATGCCCTTTTGCACAGGGGTTGCTAAGGGTGTAATCCTTCTTTCCTGAAAGATTTAGCCCAATCGACCGTTTAGTTGATTTAAAAAAAAATTCAAAGTATTTATATTAATGCTTTACAGGCCGAAATAGGTAGTGCATCGAAAATTGGTACTTTACTCGGCAAGCTGAATTAATTTGTAAGGACAAATTGGACCTAACCTTTTATTTTTATAAAATGTGTGACAAAAAGTCTATTTTTTACTTACCGGAATAAAATTTAAACAACAGAATCGTGGTTGTCGCCCAATTTTAGGCTAAAAAACTCTTAGTCCCGTTTAATAAGCCAAAAACTTTAAAAGTTTTTAAATTAACATTGAAATCGCAAGAGAAATTTTCCGTTCGTGGTTGTGGCTACTTTTCAGTAACAATGCGTTGCAGCAAAGGATGCCCATAGCACCAACAAAACTTCTACAGCTGAACTTTATTCTCCCGCTGAGAAAACTCAAATATCTACATGCGTTCAATTTGTTAGCAAATTTAAAATTTATCGTTGAATTTGGGGCCACCCTGTAATATGGAGATTTAGAGTTCATTTAGGTTTTTGTATTATCATGCTACAAACAATAAAAGAGTTGCAATAAAAATAATCAATATTATTATTATTTCATTATTTCTAACATAAATTTATGTATACTATTTGATTATCAGGTGGAATGAATATGAAAAATAAATGAAATCTTAATATTTTATTCAACGGCTCAATCTCCACTTTCGCCACCGTACTTGAATTAAATAATCCTGCGTCTAGCTGAAGTGAAATCATTTAAGTGCTTTTCAAATAAAATGATCAAATAAAAATCAAATGAATTTAACGGAATTAGATTTGATGTGTAAAATATTTCGAGAGAAGTGAGAAGTGCCTGCACGCACAATATACTGCTCGCTGGCAAACACACACATCGCACTTTATATCAAATGAGCGCGAACACACT